AAACATATTAAGGGTTTCTAGTTAACATCTCAGGAGAAAAAATAGGCGACAATAAAGATTAAGGACATACTGGTGGTATAATAATTTATAGATGTGTTTTTAGAAGATTTACCTGTTACCCTCTCTAGATAGACAAGTGGAGTTCACAATAGATCGGGTTCACAGAGCGGGATCAATATCTAAAACTACATATAGAATGGTGTAGACATAAGAAAATAAAATAAAATAAATAAAGTGGATTGGGTCAATTTAAATCATTAGCCCAATTAATTGAAATCCATTAAAATTCATAAAATCCAAAGGCCCATATCACATTTTAAAATAAACAAACAAATAAATAAACAAATAAAAATAATAATTACTCAATTATTCATTTTAATTAAATATAATTGAGTAATTACTAAAATTAGTACAAATTTTCCCTTATATATAGGACCAATGGTCCATAAGACAAAGAAGAGGAAGTGAAAGCAAAGCAAGAAAGAAAGCAGAGAATGTCACGAAGTGTTGAAGAAATTCTAAGACCAGAAGAAGGGAAGAAATTCTCTCAAACCTAAACTCAGTGAACCCTAAGAAGATTAAAAAATTTTCTTCGAATCAAACAGGTTCACGCCAAGTCCGAGAAGATCAAAGCCTTTTTTAAATCAAATCAATTCCAAGCCCCAAGATTCAAGTTCCGAACAAGTCAAGTCTCGACAAATCAAATTTTCAACAAATTCTCGAAGACCAGAATTCAGGCCACGTGCCCCTCGTCTTCAAATATTCAAATCATTAATCAAAGAATTTTTGCAAATTTGCAATTACAAGAAGGTCAACATCACTTGTATTTATCAAAATACAATTTGTAACGATTTCTATATTTTAATATATGAAATTTCATCCTACAAATTTCTTGGCTCGCCCGATGGGACCTTCTTCTTATCCTCTCATCTTTGATCACAAAATCTTTAAGTTTCAAATACAACATCAGTAATGGCAGGCGACACGGCGAAACAAACTATGACTTATCTTGACAAGACACTTGCCGAACTCTTCCATGCGACCAGGGCGAAAACAAAACTGGGAAAACTCAATTGGTCACACCACTGAAGAAGTTATCCAACAAAGGCAAAATGAAAATTGCCTTCAAAAATTCAAACTCTCATTCGATAGAAAAGACCATGAGTTTAGTGAAAAATTCTAGTTCGGGCTCCATCTCCAGTGGTAGATCTTTGTTTGGATCTCCTCATGCCACTTCTCAGTAAAAGTGGAAGATGATGCCTCTTCTGAGAAATCACTTGAGCTAGTGATGGTCACAGAAGTGGCATTGGGCTTGATGACCGAATTCAACAAATGACTTAGCCATTAAAAAATTAACAAAGTCGTTGGAAGACAAAGATGAATAGATTGCTGCACTCATACACAAGCTAGAGTCGTAAAATCCACCAGCTAAAGAAGATCAGGAAAATTCAGGATCTTCCAAGGTCAAAGAGTTAGAATTCCAAGAGTGCCAACAAAAACAAGATATGTACAATTGGACAGTTGTTCAAAACGTGTTGCGTGACACCATTCAACTCTTCGTTGGCTCTCCATCCATCCAACAACTTCAACATATGATTGCGGACACCATTCATGCCCAATATGGTGGTTCGTTGCAATATGCTCAGCCTTATAGTTATCGAATCGACTAAATAAAGATGCCACTCGATTACCAACCTCTGAAATTTCAATGTTTTGATGGGAAGGGCAACCCAAAGCAACATGTTGCTCATTTTATTGAGACTTGTAACAATGTAGGTACTTACAATGATACTATGGTGAAGCTATTCATACGCTTCCTCAAAGGTACCACATTTGAATGGTACACGAACTTACTGGTAGGGTCAATTGATAGTTGGGATCAGCTCGAGCGAGAGTTCCTAACACGCTTCTATAGTACACGGTGAATTACCAGCCTTCTAGAACTTGCTCGAACAAAGCAGAGCAAGGAGCTACTGAATCAAACAGACTTTCAAATGATGTTACAATCCTCAAGTCAAAAAGTTGTTCGAAAATGCTGGGTTTGGAAAAGGAGAGCCTCGTAAATTAGGTGATCTCTATGCCATCCTTTAAGGAGTTTGTGTCCCTTCTAATTTTGATGGAGCCTTAGTGTCCCGACCCAGGTATGGTTTGAGATAAGATCCTAATCCACCGAGGAAGATTAAGATCAAGAAGGTTTTCTCAAACCCCGTCATGGTTCAAATTTATAAACTTGTAGAAGAGAAATCAGAACAGTCGAGACCTTCAATGTTCAATTGAATTGAAAATGAGATTGCTAGAGTTTCGGTGTTTAAAAGGTTGAAAGGAGATCCCTTCCCAATGGTCGACGTAAAAGGTAAAGTTTTTGTCTTCCAAAAGTTAAGTGAAGATTCTTCTTCTACCCAAATTTATAGGAATGCACAAGCTCCCCAGATGTCGTCCCAAAGACAATCTGTATTTTCTCGACTTGGAATTAAAACTTCTGATCCAATTCCAAAACCACAACGGTCAAGAAGAAGACGAAAACATCAAAAATTTTGTCCATCCCTAAAAGGTAATGAAGATGAGGAAGAAGTATCTGTCAATCATATAGCCTTTGAAGAAGCTCCCGACTTAGACTCTAAGTCCGAAAGTTCTGTCACAACTGATAAACCTGAACCAACCCCACCTACATTTGAAGAAGGTGAACAAGCTACTGTGGATAATTTGAAACAATTGAACTTGGGGACCGAAGAAGACCTGAGACCAGTATTTGTATGTACTCTTCTTAGTCAAAAAGAAGAATCTAAATACAATAATTTGCTTCGAGAATACAAAGATGTGTTTGTGTGGTCTTACAAGGAAATGCCGGGATTAAATCCTAAGATTGTAGTACATCATCTTGTAGTAAGACATGGAGTTCGACCAGCCAATCAACCTCAAAGCAGATTCGACCAGAACTGATCCCTCAAAATGAAGTGGAAGTTAACAAACTTATTCAAGCTGGATTTATACGCGAAGTAAGATACCCAACGTGGATCGCGAACATCGTCCCTGTCAAAAAGAAGAAAGGGCAACTAAGAATTTGCGTCGACTTTCGAGATCTAAATCAAGCATGTTCGAAAGATGATTATCCACTTTCGATTACAGAATTGATGGTAACTACCAGGTATGAAATCTTATCTTTCATGGCCGGGTTTTTTGGATACCATGAGATACGGATGAACCCGAAAGACGAGGAGCTCACATCCTTTTGTACCCCTAAAGGCATATATTGTTACAAAGTTATGCCTCTTGGATTGAAAAATGTGGGGACAACCTACCAGAGGGCAATGCAAAAGATTTTCAATGACGTGCTGCATAAGAACGTGAAATGCTATGTGGATGATCTTGTTGTCAAAACAAAAGACGTGACGATCATTTACAAGATTTACGGGATGTTTTCAAAAGACTTCAAAGACATAAGTTGAAGATGAATCTGTTGAAATGTGCACTTGGCATCATCTCTGGAAAATTTCTTAGGTTCGTTGTTGGACACCGGGGCATTGAAATAGATCAATCAAAAATTGATGCCATAATTAATATGTCAGGGTCAAGAAATGTACGTGAGTTGAAAAGTCTTCAAGGAAAACTTGCATATATTCAAAGATTTATCTCTAACCTTGTCGGACGATGTCATCCATTCAACAAATTGGTGAAGAAAGATGTGCCATTTGAATGGGACGACGCTTGTCAAAATGCTTTTCAAAGCATTAAGCAATATTTGTCTCATCCATCGGCACTCACAGCTCCAGTCCCAGGGAAACCAATGCTCTTTATGTTGTAGCACAAGAATTTTCTATAGGGACACTTTTTATCCAAGTCAACGATGAAGGAAAAGAGAATGTACTCTATTACTTAAGCTAGACATTGATATGCGCTGAAATGGAGTATTCACCTATTGAAAAAATGTGCCTTTCATTAATCTTTACAGCTAAAAATTTGAGACATTAGATGCTATCACACACAATTAATCTTATTTTGATGATTGATCTATTGAAGTACATAATGTCTAGGCCAATTCATTTTGAAAGGATTGAAAATGAGCACTGCTGTTGTCTGAGTTCGATTTCAAATTTATTCCACAAAAGGCCATCAAAGGATGAGCTTTGGCAGATTTCCCGGCTGACCACCCAATTCCAGTAGAATGGAAACTTCAAGAAGACCTTCTGATGAAGAAGTTCTATTCACTAAAGTCATACCATCTTGGAGGCTATACTTCGACGGGGTAGCTCGAAGTTATGGTGCCGGAGCAGTAGTCTTTGTCACTCCTTATGATCTTGTCATGTCCTACTCTTTTACCTTAATAGAGAATTGTTCAAACAACATGGCGGAATATCAAGCCCTTGTCCTTGGCTTAGAAGCAGTGTTAGATATGAATATTCACCAGTTGGAAGTCTTTGGAGATTCTAAATTGATAATCTACCAACTTTTAGCTGAATATGAAGTCTGTAATTCAAGCGTGAATCCATATCATGAATATGCACCAATTCTTATGAGATGATTTGATTCGAAAAAATCAAATTCATCCTGAGAAGTGAAAATAGGGAGGCTAATACCTTAGCTAATTTGGCAGCTGATTTAGCTAGGTTAGATAGAGACTTTTCTCACTTCATATCACTTGCTCAAAGATGGGTGTTTTCGTCATTGCTACCAAACGATTTGGAAGAAAATGATAGTGTCGAAGATGAGGAAAGAGAAGATTGGAGACAGTCGATAATTGATTTCCTTCGACGTCAAAAGCTACAAGATAATCCATGGCGAAAAATTGAAATCAAGAGGCATGCCTTACGCTTTATCTTTTATAAGGGAACACTTATCGACGATCATTTGATGGAGTTTTCCTTCGATGCCTAAGTAATGATGAAGCAACACAGGTCGTGAAAGAAGCTAATGGAATTTCTGGTGCCCATCAGTCTGGACCCTAACTCCATTTTTGAATAAAGAGGATGGGGTATTACTGGCCAACTATGGTATAACACTCCATGGATTATACAAGAAAATATGAAGCTTGCCAAATCCATGCGAATTTAGTCCATCAACTTCCGGAACCACTACATCCGACAGTAGCTTCATGGCCATTTGATGAATGGGGTCTTGATGTAATTAGACCTATAACTCCAAAGTCTTTAGTAGGGCATGCATATATACTAGCCGGGACTGACTACTTCTCTAAGTGGGCCGAAGCCGTACCATTGAAGGAAGTAAAGAAAGAAAATGTTAAAGATTCCATTCGTATCCAAATCATTTATCGATACGGTGTCTCGTGGCATATCATAACTGATAATGGCAAGCCATTTTGCAATAGCCACATAAACAATTTATGTGCAAAGTTTGGGTTCAAACAGTACAACTCATCATGTACAATGCGGCGGCTAACGGATTAGCAGAGGCGTTCAACAAAACACTATGCAGTCTGCTAAAAAGGTTGTCTCCAAATCAAAAAGAGATTGGCATGAAAAAATTGATGAAGTCTTATGGGCTTATCGAACAACTTATCATACTCCAACACAAGCCACTCCTTACGCTTTAGTATATGGGGTGGAAGCTATACTTCCTCTGAAATGTCAAATCCCGTCACTTCAAATCGCCATCCAAGAAAATTTGACAACTGAAGAAAATGCTCATCTTCGATTGGAAGAGCTAGAAGCTTTGGATGAGAAGATGTTAGAAGTACAAATGCACCTGAAGTGTTATCAAGTTCGAATGGCGAAGTCCTTCAACAAGAAGGTGCGACCAAGATCATTCCAAGTCGGAGATCTTGTACTTTTCGTATGCAGGCCCATCATAATCACAAGAAAAATAGGGGACAAGTTTCAGCCTAAATAGGATGGTTCATTTCTTGTTACTCATGCATTCACTAATGGAGCGTACAAGATCGTCGATAAAGATGAACTACAAATCAGACCTATCAATGGAAAATTTTTAAAACGTTTTTACTCATGAAGTTCTTTTTTAAAATTTTTCATTGTAAGAAAAAAATTGTGTTCTTGTAGTGAAATTTGTTCGACTTGATCCCATTTGGGTACATAGGCAGCTTGAATAAATTATAAAATCAAGTACAGTCACAACTAATAAATTCATTCATTCAATTTGTTTACCATTTATTGTAGTAAAAAAAAACACAAGAAGCATGAAAAAGAAAAATTCTTCCAAATAAAAATAACAAGTCAAAATTCATACAATATGGTCTAAAAAAATATCAGAAATTCTTGATTTCATGAGGATCACTCACCATCGATCACTTACAGGAAACTATCTTCAAGGGTCTTCCTTCTCTGATTAATAGATGCTATGTTAGTGACATCTTTGGTCTGTGCTTCTTTCAATGTTGACTTCTTCGTTCCAAGCATATTCTTCTGTTCTCACTGGGCTTGGAGTTCATCACAAAGTCTATCTAGCTCAAAGGTTAGCTAATTAATTTTGCCCTTCCAACGAAGAACACGTGGAATCCTTTACTTCCATCTAAATGTTCAAAAGTTTCAACTGCTCAGCCTTTTCTTCAACGATTAGACAATCCAAGTGTTGCTTTCTTTTAGATAAGTAAGAGTAACTTCTTTTAGAAACACATCCATGTCCTTTATCAAAAGTGCTGGGTTTGTATGGAATGAGTTGGTAATCATGTTCTAAAGAATTAAATTATTTTCATCCCACTCAGATCGAATGTTGGAGAATCCATGCGTCAAGACGTCCTTAAAATACTTTTGAAGGTAATTAGTCATGGCTTCTTATAGAACAACCTTCAAATAAGGAGACTCTTGGGTAATTCCAGGAAGAGGACCAGATATGAAAGAACAGATTAGTGCAGCTCGATGATTATTTGTCTGTGAAAGCGGGATACTAACTAAAGCTAACGAATATGGAATGACAGGGACTCATTGATTGGTCTCTAAAATGTTGGCTCCCGGGATCCCTGAATTTACTTCATCTTCAGTATGAAAATTATCCATGATAATTACTTAATTATCTCCATTGATGGAGTCGGATATTTTCAAGGAGGGTCATGAGAATCATGAATACCATCTATTCCTTAAAGTGCATTGATTCGCCCGTCATTCTCACTAGTTTGATCTTGCAAAAAGTTTGGATTTATGGAGAAATTTAGTTCTTCAGGGATGCTCGAAAACCCCACAAAAAAATGAAGTATGATTTTAAAAAAAAAAAGTACAGCAAACGAAAACAGGGAACATACCTACATTTTATGTCTTAGACAACCTATCTAAAAATCCACCGTCTGATAATGTGTTCGAGAGGCCGATGTTAATGTGAGAAGCTCCAACTTCACCTTTTGAAAGACTCGAAATAGCTTGAAGTGGTCTTGGTTCTACCGGTCGTTTGATTTTGTATATTGAAAAAAAAAAGAGCCTGAAATCTAAGATTTTGACAGGAAATCAAATACAAGCAATATGTTAAAAAAAAGAGAGAGAAAAAAGAACTATACCCGATCTCTAGAACTTTCATCTTCCAGAGTTAAAGTCTTTTTCGGTGCTTATGATGCTCGATCTCCAGGACTGCTGTGATCTGGAATCAAAATCGCTTCTGGCACCTTATCAGCAGGCTCAGAGGTGACAGCAATCTTTACTGAGGGAACTATAATTTTAATTCTCTTAATACCTCTTTCGTTTTGCTGGTTTGGATCCCTCTTTCTAGAAGCCTCTTCAGGAGAAACTTTTGAAGGGTTTAACCCTCTAGCTATAACCCTGTTTAGAGTCGGGACAATAACAAAGTCACAACTCTCACTAGAGAATTAGACTTGTACCTAGACCCTGGTCAAGGATGGCAACACTTTGCTATTCCACCAAGCCTGGTACTCAACATCAATGTTTTGATGTATATCTATCACATACTCTGGAATAAGAAATACAAGCCCAATTTTCGTTCGAGTTAAGGATAACCAAACCTGACCTACACTGGGGACAATATTATACTTTCTTGGTGAACCAAAAAGTTTCTGTCCAAAGCCAAATTATCTCGCAAACCTATGAGGATTATACGCCTCAAGAATGAAAGGTGAATTTTCTCAACGATAAGAAACAAATTCATATCGAATACTTATCATGAATTCTGAAATATCTACAGACCTCTGTTAGTCATCCACATGTACATCAGGATGAGACGATGAGGGTAATGGATTCTAGCAAATGTCATTGGTGCCCATTATTCCACGGATAAGTTCCCAACAATCAAAAACACTTTTCTCCCAAGACTGGAAAGCATTCAGAATGCCAGCATATCTTCGAATTATAGGCCGAGAATAACTCTTATCCACGAGAGCATAAACATTTCGGACAAAATAAGTTGCCGCCCAAGCATAAAAAAATGTCTAGGAAATGAATTTGAAATCAAGCAAAGGTCCAGTTTTGTCTGACAGTTAGATGTTTGTGTATGTCCCCTATAAATACTCGCTAATATGGGAGGAACCAGGCTATAATTGTACCCATCTTCCATCCTAGAAGATGCTTTAAAAGTTCCAACTCTTATACATTCGTCCCCAGATGGAAGAACGAAACGACAAAGCCACGGGGAGAGGTAATCTGCTATCTCCAATTCCTCTTCTTCTTCCATAGACAAAGATACTGGCAATTTTCTCCAATGACGTCAATTCCCACGAGTAATGTATCTCAGCTTGTCTGCCATCATGGGCCTCTATATTTTCTTCAATGTTCTTTGATGACGCTTCTTGAATGGATTTAAATTCATAGCATTCTTATAATTTTTGTGTTGCCAAGGATTCTGAGCACAACCATTCTCATGAAACCAAAAATTAATCCATTCTTCGTGAATAACCCTGTCAAATTCATTTGCATGGGCAATCAATGCGAAAACATTAAAGAGGTACAAACAAAACTTGGGAAGATAATCCATCAACTCTGAAAGGCTTGGGACTACTTCCTTATAATAATGACCCATAATCGAAAGTCCACTTATCTCATGAAATCCCAAAGAAAAATGCCAATTTCACTATTGGCAGTCACAAAGGTGTTGATCTCTGGACACCAAACCTCACAAAGAGCTCTATAAATAGAGTTTGGGCGATGGTAATCTTTTGTCGTAGAACCAACTGCAAAAGCTAACTCACGAAGATTCCTCTTGAGTAGAAGTTTTTGGACCCATAAAGACCATTCCCAAATTTGTGGAAGAAAAGAAATCTTTCCTCGACTGACGAGTGTGCTTCCCCATCGTATTTCTCTATTATCAATCCTCTCACAAATTACAGCCTTTGGGATGCACTCCATGCTCTGGGAATGATGAGGCGGAAGACACAAAAAGGGAATATGACTGCTAAAGCGGTTGGACTTGCTGGCATCAAAATCCTCATGAAATTCACTAATGGTGGGCATATGCAACTCTGACAATGGCTCCAGAAGATCAGGAGAAGGATCTGTCGTTAGCTTATGGACACTAAATTTAAGTTCACCTCGTATGCCAGTCTGGGCATGGTATTTCACATCAGTGTCTTTGAAACACAGATAACTTTTACCTTGATTTTTAAGCTCAACAATTTCGTGCACGTCAGAGTCTTTATCATCAGAACTTGTTCCAGCCATACCTACAAAAAAAAGTCAACTAAAAAGAGGGGGACAGTAAATCTCTTAAATTGGTTTATCGTTTGAAATCACAAGTCTCCCAAATATGTAAGCAGTCTCTACAAAAAGTGTCTTAGTTGGTCGAAGGAGACAGTCCTTGGTCCTCAACACAAAGTGTCTTGGACAATTGAAGGAACAAGTCCTTGGTCTTCAACACAAAGTGTCTTGAACAGTTGAAGGAATAGGTCCTAGGTCCTTAACATAAAGTGTGTTGGACGGTCGAAGGAGCCAGCTATTGGTCCTCAACACAAAGTGTCTTGGACAGTTGAAGGAATGGGTCTTTGGTCTTGGATAATTGAAGAAACAGATCATTGGTCCTCAACACAAAGTGTCCAAGACGATCAAAGGAACAGTCCTTGGTCTTTAACACAAATTGCCTTGAACGGTCAAAGGAGTCAGTCCTTGGTCCTCAAACTAAAATGCCTTTGATAGTCGAAGGAGTTAGTTCTTGGTCCTTAACACAAAGTGCCTTGGACAGTTGAAGGAACAGTCCTTGGTCCTAAACACAAAGTGTATTGAATGGTCGAAGGAGCCAGTCCTTGGTCCTTAACATAAAATGCATTGGACGGTCGAAGGAGCCAGTCATTAGTTCTTAACACAAAATGCCTTGGATGGTCGAAGGAACAGATCCTTGGTTCCCAAACATGAAGTACCTTGGACAGTCGAAGGAACATGTTGATATGATCCAGGAGTCGAGCTCGACGAAGGATAGTGCGAGACGAGACCCGTTGATAGGCGATGGTGGAGCAATGACGCAATCAAGGGCAAAGCAAGTGAAACAAGCGATGGGATTGCTCATTTAAGAAACCATTGATGGAACCATGTTCGGGACTCAAAATGGAGCAACTTTCATGTTCGGGTCGAAGGCCGAATCAACTTGGATTAATTTGTTATCAAACAATGAAACCGGAGGTTGAAAACAAATTTGTGCGGCCGCACAGCAAAAACACCATGGGGCCGCATGGTGGCATACCGAAACTCAAGACGGCATTTTTGTTGAACCATGCGACCGCATGAAAATACACCATGCGATCGCACAAGCCATTTTTTGGCGAATTTCCTATTTTTGTTATTTTTCCATATTTCGATAGATTTTGATTTTTTTTTCCATATTTTGGGGATTATAATCAAATTTTGCACGATTTTAACTAATTTTTAGGTTTAGTATAAATATGAGTTTCCATTCAATTGTTAAAAACTTTTGACATTATTGATATTGAATTAAAAGTGAGGCGTATTGTCTTCTCTTCATTGTTTTTCATTGAACAACTTCGAACTTATCAAGTGTTAACTTGTGGTGTTCAAACAACCGGATTTAATTCTTGGATTGCGTAATCAAGGGGTCTTTCAAGCGTCGTTCTTGTTGGGATTTTTTGGTTTGACTTTCTTTGGGTTAATCCTAAACTCTTGGATTAATTTGACTTTCTTGGGTTCGTCAATCTCGTTGTGGGTTTCGTAGTCAACGTTGCTACGGGTTCGCATCACATGTCCTTGGTTCTCAACATAAAGTGCATTGGATGGTGGAAAGCGACAATCTTTGGTCCTCAATGTGTATGAAGGTTTACAATTTTGAGTTTGTTCATAAGCATATATTTTCTGAACTCATAAAATAATTGCAACATAAAAAAAGTTTAACCTCTACACGAAGAAAATTTTGAACCTCAAAATCCTTGACTCGCACCAAAAAGTTGAATCTCTACATAAAAAAAAAAAGAAAAATGTTAGTTTTAATTTTCTTAAAAAAACCACACCAAAATAATCAACAAGAAAAAAAATAGGGTCAAAATAAATGGGCAGTAAAAAAAAAGAAAAGGAAAGGGGAAAAAAAAGAAAAAATGAAACCAAACATAAAAAAAGGAACAAAAACCAAAAAGAAAATAAAGAAAAAAGAAAGAAACTAAAAAAATAAATTGGTTTCTACTGTTTAAAGAAGCGGTAGAAAAAAATGGTTTCTGCTATTGCAGAAAGCCGAAGTCAAACTTTGGTTTCTGCAACAAAAACCAAAAGCCAAATGAATTGCGGCTGAAACTATTAATTAAAAAAAAAAGGGACAAAAGAAAAAAATAATAATAATAACTCAGGTTTTTGTAGAAACCAATTAGAAAGAACAATACAGCTGCTCAAACAGGTTAGAATACATGTTCGAATCCTGAAATATGGATTTGGCTCTTGGGTAAGTACAAGTGTACAAGCAGCCTTCCACCCTGTACCCTTGAAGGTATAACCTGCGATTTACCTCCCTCACGATACTCTAAGGTAGAGGTGATGGGGGACCCTTACGATTAGAGTTTAACTTTTTTTTTTTTTTTTTTTTTTTTTTGAAGGTTAGAATACATGTTCAAAGACAGGCTGATGTGACATTTGAAAATAAAGGCCCATTTTAAAGGGGAAATGAACATCACCCACTCTCCCCCAACTTCTCTCTCCCTGGTTGCTTTATTCTCTCTCTTCAAAACCCATAGAAATCTGCAAATCCAACTGTGCATATTCGATGGTGTCCCCGCATTGCACTTTCGTCGACAGTGTCGACGATGCAGGATCGACGAGCTCAGGTCGCCGTTTGAAAACAAGTTTTAAAAAAATCAACGAGCTCCTGTTATTAATATTTCTTCATGATGTGCAGTTCATAAAATCGGCTTGTTATATATATTTAAATCGCGATCCTCAACTTCTTCTCGGTCATCCCTTCCTTCCATGAAACTGCAATTTTCATAAGGTCGGTATAAAATCGACCTGTTTGTGAGTTCGTGAAACTGCAATTTTTTTTTTCAAAAGAAACATTTTTTTTGAAGAACTGCATTTTTTTTTTAACCCAATTAGCTTGTTATTAATATATCTTCATCCCAACGATTTCTTGTTCCACACAGCATATTTCCCAAAATTTCATGTGCATTTTTGGGTTATTTTGTGGTATGGGTTTCCCTTCAACTTCAAATTAAAGATATCTTTTCGCATTTCGTACAATAAATGTGCAATTCTTGGGGGAATTTAGATGAATAAATCTGAAAAAAAGATTTGACTTTTGGCAATGGGATATTAAGAGATCTGGTATTTAGAGTTTGAGTTTCTTGAGGCAATTTTGATATCTCTAAAGTTTCAACAATTTAAATGTATCACATTTTCTGGGTTTTAGGTATTTGATGTAACTATATGCAAGTTCCAGTATTGAAGTTGAGAAAATGAAAGGGAAATATTGGTTATTTGATTCACTCTATGTGTTATTGATTGCTGTGAGTCCTAGTATCTTGAATGAAACAATCTACTCAGTTGAGTTGTTTAAAGCTTATAGGATTTTCCGTTTTCATGAGTTCTGGTCTTAATTTTGGGCATCTTTTCTGTATTGGTTCCCTTGCTGCCTTTGTGCTTGGTTTCAATATTGGCATTAAATCTAATTTGTGCATCGTATGTTTTAGGAGAAAGATAACGATAATAAAGGAAAATTATTCCTTTGCTGTAGTCGAAATTGTGAATTTTGAATCAAGAGGTGAATGTAGTCGTGGCAACACTACCACCCCTACCACTATGATGGACAACACAGATGAAGAAATGTCGTGCATGTTTCGATCTAGAGTTCGGATAAGTGACGAAGAAGAATTGCAGATTTCATTGAAGGTGAATGTGAGCATCTCCGGATGGAAACAAGAACCACGGAAGTGAATGCAAAAGGGAAGCGGCCTACTTGACATGTTGCATCATGGAAACATTTTAGATGCTTCGGTTTTGTGTAGATAAGAACTAATTACCAATTTTATGTTCTGAACTTGCAGTCGTTGTGGATATTCCATATTGCATTATGCCCTTGTATATTAATCTATTTTTGCATTATGCCCTTATGTATTACCGAAACCCATGGTTCGCCTGGAAAGAAAATGAATTTAGGAATTAGAATTTCACTAATGCCTCACAATTCTATTGAATTATAATTTCGACAACTTGTATTGAAGTACAAATATATTATTTTTCAATGGTATTTCGTAAGTTTTGGTCTCTAAATGTGACAAAAATAATATGTTCACAACTGGTTGGTGGTGACAGAATTAATTAAAAAACGAACATAATTTAGAGAAATAAGTTAACACTAGTCGTAAAACCACTAAAGTTAATCATCCCACTATCCATTAGAACGTTGCCTTATGTTGAAAAAAAATGATCACACAATTGTTAAAACCATGTAGGTAATCATTCCACTACCCATTACAATGTTGCTTCTGTTACATACCCAATGCATACGAAAACTGTCATTGGGGGTTACAAAACTAAACAAATCCGAATATGTAACCATAAATTTGACCAGTAAATTGGGCACTGGAAATCACTTGCAAAGTTCCCTAAACTCCAGATTCACAGCAAAGGCTGATAAACAAGAACCACCACATTCCTTCATTTCCTTGTAGATGAAAAGGGAAAACATATTCTCCATAAGTAACAACAACACTGACCATAACAGTGAAAAAAATGAAGATAAAAGAAACTAGTGAGGGGAAAAATTCAGTCCATTGATGTGCTTTTTGCAATAAAGATAAGCAAGAAAATAAGCAAAACTCAACTCAAAGTTTTGAATAGTTAACAATCTAACTAACTTCATTTCTCAAGACAAATCAATCATCTTTTTGTTGGAAATCTACTTAACATGTACAGCGAAAAATTAAAATAGATTTCGATTCCCACCAAGAATCGCTTTTGTGTTTAGATAAAAACTGTAATAAGATTATACCTTTTACAGATCTGCAAACTTCTTTGCTATTCTTTTCATTCCAGCAATCTTAATTCGCTACCTACAGCTATCCAATTGTTCAACCTCTAACGGTGATCCACAGAGAGAACAAGATTGCAACTACCAGGATTTTCTCTTCTTGTGCTAGCAAGAATAATTATAAGAAAAACCTATGGATTGAAAACCTTAGCCATGTATTTATATAAGCCCAAACGGGCCTGACCTGGTCATATCCAATATTTAATTAATCCATTTAATTAAATCCGATCCGTGAATTAATTAATCCAATTAATTAATTCGGGTCTATAAATAATCAAACCAATTAATTAATTTATCCAACGATTGTTAAATTAATTAATTGACAAATTGTAATCTTCAAATTCTCTTTTGTGTGCGATCCATCAGGTTCCCGATCACGTGCCTAACGATGTAAAATATTATTTTGATCTAATCAAAATTGATAAATTAAAACACCCATTTAATTTATCATCAATTCATACTCGCCTTCCCAGATTGATATCTAGCAATGTGTCAGGGCAATATATGTGACAGGAAATGTCATGTGGTATGACAAAATCAAAATCGTTCGTTTACCGTAAAACTATAATCCCTTCGTCAATATGATCCGATCAATTACGAGATATTGAAATGTGTCAATCTCGATTATCGATCATATCTTTCACTCCACTATTAAGTCAATAAAAGTTGAAAACTTCTTTTCGACTTATGAGTACACCTTGGCCAAGTATTTTGTTATTGACTTAATTGAATGAAACGCAGATCATAATCTCTTACTACCTAAGAGTGACGAATCCTCTATTGGTCATTCACAACCTTCATATGATTATTGACATACTCGAACGATATTGTATTAGCAGTCCTAGGCAGAGCAACATCCAACCCTGTCAAAGCATGACTGTCCTCATATAAGGTACTATGACATCCTCAAGTCAAAATGACCAATCCCACTATCGAACGTTAGAGATTAACCACTGACACTCAAATAGTTATCCATGTGGAATCTCTCGGTGGATCTCCAATGTTTTGTTCTATAACAAAACATCTACGTGTTTATTTAAATGTCACCACACTTTAGTTTGTGAAATCAGCTACTTACTTCATAAGTAAGAAATGCCACACGTGATGGTCTATCCGTAATAACGATATCCGTATCTCGTTATTACTTACGACCACGGACGATTTAAGATTCAATCAGATGTAATTTGTATCTCACAATCACAACTCTTGTGATTAACAAATTACGAAGATTTGAATCTACGGACTCTATTATTTATTTAATTATCTATTAATTAAATAATAAATCTTCCATTAAATTGCATTAATTATATATCAAAAGTATTTATGTCCAAAGTTAATTGGACGTAGGGCATAATACTTACAAACTCCCACTTGCACTAGATCCAATCACTTATGTATCCAATATCATAAGTCTAGATGACTATCATGTTTATGCTACGATAACTCTTTGTCAATAGATCTACAATATTGTTAAATGTCAGAATTTGTTCTTCTCTTTATGTCATTTCTATGTATTATCTCTCTGATGAGATTATACCGCCTTAATACAAGTTTGAATCATTGATGATACCTTAGTTCCTTCGCTTTCGAAATGGCTCTATTGTTATCACAATACAATGACATGTGATCAACAATAACAAGAACTACTCCAAGTTCATTTATGAACATCATGATCCAGATTGCAGCTCTTTGCTACTTCTGAAGTAATCATGTATTAGGTTTCTACTATTGAATCAACGATTGCTTCACGTTTGGAACCTTTCCAACATACCGCTTAAGAGTAAACCAGTTTCTCCATATGAAATCTTCTCAAGATTTCATCTATGTAAATTTGGATGAGTTAAGAAATCTTCTAGATCTACCTCTATAGATCAAGTTGATTCTCTCATATCGTTCATGAATAAATCATTTAACAACCATTATTTCAACGATTGAAATATAAGGATATAGTTTTCTATAATATTAGGAATACGATAATGCTCCTACTATCTTTTTGTAAATACACAATTTGTCTTCAAATTTGATAAAATCAAACACTTTGACTTTTTCATCAAATCTAAGATTTCAACTCCAAGAGACTTCTCTTAACCTATAGTCACGGTATGTAATTGTTGCAAGCAAAACCCAAATGGACTTCAGCAAGGCTATAGGAGAAATGTTTCACCAAGGTCAATACCTAACCTTTGCTTCTAGCCTTGCTTTGTATATATGGATATTCCCATCCATATCGACCTTTTCCTTGTTTACTATTTACAAAAATTTATGGGTTTTATTCCATCAGGAGGCTTGACCAAGGTCCAAACCTTGTTCACATATGTCGAGTTCATCTCGAGTTTCTTGGCCTCTTCCTATCTCTTTTAAGTCAACACTTGACTTTATGTTGGTGCAACTAGCAGGTTCATTATCCTAGATCAGTAATACCTGATTAGTAATTGTGGATTGGCACATTCTCGAAGGTCGAATAATCCTACTAGATTCACATAGAGCTGACATGTCCTCAAGAGTCTTTACTTCCTGATCAAGAGTATATCAGATATGAGATCAAACTCGGATTCATCTACTTGGCTAACTATATTTATGGACCCTTGAACTCTTTCATATTCTATTTTGCTCTCACTGTCCTCCCTAGAGTAAACATTTTCTTTAGGAAGACGATATGTCGTGAGGTGAAGACTTTCTTCACAATAATAGAATTTATATTCAAATATCTGCTTTGAATATACCACAAATATGTATTTATTGGATTTAATCTCAAACTTATCTGATTCAATGCGCTTCAAATAAGCGCCATGGCCCCAAACTTTCATATGAGATAAATTGGGACTATTACCTTTCCATAAATCGTATGGAGTTCTGTTAACCAACTTAGGTGTGATATGATTTAGTGTGTTACACACTGCAATCAATGCATGACCCCAAAATAATTTTAGGAGATTTGCATGGCTTGTTATTAATCGCACTATATCTAATAGTTAACGTTTTCTGCTTTCAGATATACCACTATGCTGCAGTGTATATGGAGGAGTCCACTGCAAGAGAATCTCATTCTCTTTTAGATAATCTATAGATAATCTAGATTTTATCTTTAAGATACTCTCACTTGATCGAATCTTAATGTGAGGGTATCTTTACCTATTTATTTCTCTACTTTTAGTTTGAATCCCTTGAACTTTTCTAGAGTTTCATGTTTGAGTTTCATCAAGTATACATGATCATTGATAAAATAAGAGAAACATTTCCTGACATCAATTGACATGAGTCCATATGCATCACTATGCATTAGATCAGTAATTATGCTGACCTTTCTTCTGTTCAAGTAAAAGAAGATTTGGTCATTGTTCCAGACATACATAATTTGTACTTGTCAAAATCAATTAATCCCGAGTATACATTTTTATGTAACTTTGAAATTGCATTTCATCTATATGACAAAGTCTGTCATGCCAGATTTCGGTAATAATTAAATTATTGCATTCATGCCTTATAATTTCTATACTCATTATAGAATCCTTAGTATTTAGAATATAAATGTTATTTTGTAACTTACCATAACTATTAAGATCTTAATCAAGATATGCAGGAACAACAATTGTCCTTAACATTAAAATGGTTCATGTCTGAACATGAAATTCATTTTAATGTTCCAGCTATGGTGGGTACAAAGAAATATTTCTCTAATTCTATTACTAAGTCAAAAGGTAATGGCAAGAAGTATGCTCCTACAGGCAATGTAGCAACATTTGCTTATCTTCAACGTGTAGGTTAACTTCTCCCTCTTGTAGTGATCTATCTCCATTTTGTTTCTCCATATTTGTATAAATATGAGATCCACACCTAGTATCTAATACCTGAGAAGCTAATGAAATAGATATAAGCCTTGCAATAATTTTTTCCAATGACCTTTCATTCTATAATGAAGACAAGGGTCATTAAATTTGCTGTTGTCCTTTCACTTAGACTGTCTTAACCATATTGGATGCTTTCACAAAGCCCCTTTAGACTTCCTCTTAATACCCTTAGAGGAATCAATGGCTTGCCCACTTCTAACTTTGTTATTGGGTATAACAGTTTTAAGCATGTTAAGCAACTTAATGAGTATGCATTCGAGCTTATTTATATCATAATTCATAATTAGTATGAATAA